AGGGGGTCGAGCAAGCAGAGTGGTGATGGGAGCACGCCTGGGCACACGGTGCTGGCAGTGGGGAGCTCTGCTCCAGGGCCAGGAGCCCTCCCAGCATGGGGTGGGCTGGATTTACCCCCCTCAGTTCCTCTCCACGAAAGGCAGGGAGATGTGGCTCCAGGGTGGGGGACATGCAGGCATAGATGCACATTTCCATCAGGAGATGCCAAGTGGCCTGTTGACACTTGGGGGATACCACAAAGCCACAGGAAATCCACAGGGAAGGAGGGGTGGGTTATTCAGGAAATTCGTGTTTCACCCCCACCTGTGACCCCCTTGTGGGGCTGCACCCCCAGCAGAGGAGCTGCTGGTTCCATAGCTCCAGGCTGTTGCTTTTAGACGAAAACCTGTTTGGATTTCTGTAGGGGTGCAGTGTAAGCCCAGCCCAAGGGCAGGGATGGGGCAGGATGAGCCTGGGAGCACATGTGCGGGGTGGAGGGTGCCAGAGCCCCACAGGGAGCCCAGACCCGACCCGTGCCAGCAGCACTGGGTGCAGCATCCAAATCCAGACTGCTGGGACACGAGGACCTGAAATCCTGCCTTGCTGTCCCGAGGGACTGGGGGCTCTGTGTGATCCTGCCAGTGCTCCTGTGCAGGGAGCTGAGCTCGGTTTTTTTCAGACATAACCGTGGGGTTTTTAAAAAGGGAGTTGGAGGATGGGAAAGATGCTTCTCTCCATGGAGTGCATCCCACTGAGTCTCACTAGCATCCCAGGATGGCTCATGGGAGACCTTCTGTGCGAGTTGAGTGTAGGGGGAAAGTTTTCTACATGCCATAAATGCCCCAACGCTGGGTCTGCAGCCCCCCGTGGTGTGGGGCTCGACACAGCTACAGCAAACTCTGCTCCTTTAGATGGAGAAGCTCGCATCTCTGGGAGCTATGGGAAGGGATGTGTGTGCTCTGAACTCTGTGTACATCCACTTAGGCTGGAGAGTAGCAAGGGATCCAGCACCAATCCTTCAAAACCACAGGATTGGCAGCAGCTGGAAACCTCGGCAGTTGAGGACTTGGGGAGCCCTTTCCTGCTCCAGTGCTGGCTCACCCCATTGCCCTTCCTTGTCTCTCCAAGGACCTTGAGCCCAGGGACTCAGGATTAGGAAGCCCTGGGGAGACACTTGCCTCAGCCCTCCCACCTCCAACCTCTGCATCCTCCCCAGGATCCCTGTAGCAAACCCGTGTTGCAGATGGAGCCGGAGGACATCCCACACCAGGAATTTTGGGGAGTGCAGGTGTACCTTCCAAAGAGCCGCCGTGTGCTCACCCCCCTCCCGCCTCCAGCTGTAATTAGCAGCTTCGTCAAGGTCATGCAGAGCAGTGCCAGCTCCAGACTGTAAATTTACCAGGAGCGTTAATTAATCCATGATTGCAGTGGGAGCGGCTGGGCCAGGCGCGGCGGGAGAGCGGGTGGACACGCTCCTGCCACAGCCCTGGGCTGCCACAGCAGGGGCGTGGCTGGGGGACAGCCTGTCCTCCACCACGGGGACATCTCTGTCGGATCTGCCTCCTCGCAGCCCCTGCTTCCTCCAGTTCCCCCCATCCTGCCCAGCTTTGAACCCCCAACTCTCTCTCACTCCAGCTCAGTTCCAGCCCTTTGAAGCCTCCTCCTGCCCCAGCCGTAGCTGCATTCCTTTCTGCTGAGTTGGTGTAACCCAACCCCACACTGCTTTTGGGGAGGGGGTGGTGGGAGACCCTCCTGCTGCCAGGCCCATCCAGGAAACAGGGAAAGCCAAAACTCTGTGCAACAGCGAGTGTGGAAAATGGCACAAGAGTGTTTGTGTGGGAGAAGGTGGTGGGTGTGCTGTGCTCTGTGGTGGGGCGTCTCTGGGGAGAGGGGATGGTGTTTGGAGGCTCCTGGCAGTCTCTGTCCTGTCTCCAGCCCATCTGATCCTTCTCTGTGGCACAAAGCATCCCCCTGGCTCTCCCCAGCACGATCCCTGCAGGTCAATGAGTTCTTCCCCAAAACGTGCAGTGATGGGAAACATCACCATCTGCTCCTTCCCCTCAAACCACGTGGACAGCTCTCAGGTTTGGGGGGTTTGGAGGTGAGTGACTGGGGGCAGCATTCCCCTCGCTCAGCCCAGTCTCTCCATGAGCCCCAGCAGAGCCCCTCTCTCAGTTTTATGGCTCTGGATTGGAGCTGGAGCTGCCTGACGCCGGGATGCAAAATGAAAACCAAATGTTTCCACAACCGCCGGCTCAGCCCGCGGCAGCTCTGGGAGGCAGCGAGTGTGGGACGGCCACGTGAGCCAAGGGTGTGGCCAGTGGGGCTGGGGCTCGTGGCCATGCAGCACCCACTGTCCCCTGTGCTGCCCAAATACCCTGGGGAGCAAAACACCACGGTGGCTTTGTGTCCATCAGGAGAGGTCATCCAGTTCCAAGCCCCGACTATGGGCAGGGACACCTTCCACTAGACCAGGTTGCTCCAAACCCCATCCAACCTGGCTGTGAACACTTCCAGGGATAGGAGCTGCAGGAGGTGCTGGAGGATGCCTGGCAGGAGAGGGGATGCTGTGAATGGGGTGGCAGCCATAGGCCAGTTTGGATGTGGGAGATAAGATTGTGGCCCCTGGGAACAAGCCTGATCCTTTAGGGAAAGGTGGGAGACCAAGATGCAAAGCAGAGGCTGCTCCTGGGCACCTGGATGGGGATGCCTGATTGGAGATGCAGATGGGCAGTGGGAAGCCCCAGGGAGCTGTGTCTGCAGGACCTGTGGGAAGGCACCTCCATGGCTGGTGTGTGGAGGTAAATGTCCCTCCCCAGGTGGATGTGGCTGGTGGGAATTCTGCTCTGGAAAACTCCTGGTTCCACTAAAGTGCCATCCCTGGGCTCCTCTCACAGGTTACAGATCCATGTCCCACTGGTGGTACTGGACCTACCTCCACCCATCCCAGCTATAGGCAGGCAGGGAGCAGTGGGGCTGAGCTCCACATCCCAGTTCCCTCCCTGAAACCCGGCATGGCAGCTCGGCCTCTTGCCTTGGCTCCGGGCTATGGCTCGTGACTCACATCCCCAAAGTGGTTTTAGGCAGAAATCCACCAAGCTGGAGAGCTCTGGAGTAGATTTGGCCCCACTAGGCCTGACTAAGCAGGTTTCCTCAGGCTCAGTGCCTGTGTTGGACGTGCACACACGGCCTGGTGGTAGCCCCAGGACTGGCTGCATCCACCTCTGCCATGGAAGTGCTGTCTCTGGCCCCTCTGGTGCAGGGATGGGTCATCCTGGCTGGGGAACAGGCTGGTGCCGATGGTTTTTGGGAATCAGGGAAAGGCTTGGCTGCCCCAAGGCTTTCCCAAGCCTCCTGTTCCTGCACACCTCACCACCCCAGCGGGCTGTGACAATTTGTGGATGAAAAACGGTGCCACGGTCCTTAAACATGCCACGAGCTGGGATTCATGGGTGCTGCAGTGGCCTCTGCTAATGGTTTGAGTAACCTGGCTGTCATCTTTGGGAAAAACTGCAGTCCTTTTCCATATGAAATATTTACACTGGTCTTTGCTTCATCATAACGGAGCCGGAGAGTCAGGAGTGGAAGCTCACGGCTGCCTCAGCTCAGCCCAGCTCTCGTTTATGGCTGTAACACCAAGCAGCCAGATGAAAACCTGCATTTGAACCCAAAATGCCAGAGGGGAGATCTGTGTGAGGGATCTGGGAGTCACCAAAGCTCAACCAGGGAGCAGGAGCCCCTCTGAGTTGGGTTTCCTGGCCCTGCACCCAGACCTGCTGGAGATGGGTTGTCATCCCCCCGCTCCCTGGGATCCCCAGCTCCATCTGTCTCTGCTCTATAGGGATGGACCTCTCAGCCAACCAGGATGAGGAGGGTGACCAGGAGACCTACCAGCTGGAGATCAACAAGGACACCAAAAAATGCGCCTTCCGGACCTACACTGGGAAGTACTGGACCCTCACCTCCAACGGGGGCATCCAGTCCACTGCCTCCACAAAGTGAGTCCCCTGTCCCAAGCAGGGCCATGCCTGGGCTTCAGGAAACCCTCTGCATCTCCCAAGGGAATCCAAGGGGGATTTTCCAGCCTGGGTGCTCGCCCCAAAACGCTTCCCAGCACAGGCAGTGAGTGCATTCCCCAGAAAGCCAGGGATGGGCTGGGGTTTGCCGCCCACGATGCTTGGCAAGTCCCTGGGGTCACGTAATCCTTCCCGGCCGGCTGGGGCTGTCGAAATGCTTTTCCCTGCAGTTCAACCCTGACAGCCAGGCGGAAACCCCAAAAGCACATTTGGCTGCCTGCCTGCCTCCTGCCTGCGGGGCAAGGGCTTCCCAGCAGGATGGCCACCACAACACGGTTCATCCTGCAAAAACAGATCGAAGCAGGGTCTCCTGATCCAGCCGTGGCCCTTTCCAAGCCAGCAGGGTGGCACTGGCAGGGCCCCCATCCATCACATCCCGCTGACCGCCCTCTCTGCCCCCCAGGAACGCGAGCTGCTACTTCGACATCGAGTGGTGCGACAAGCGCATCACCCTGAAAGCTGCCAACGGCAAGTACGTGACGGCAAAGAAGAACGGGCAGCTGGCAGCCTCCATGGAGACAGCGGGTAAGGCACCCCCTTGGGGACCCCACCCCGCACTGGGGCGGCAGGGGATGAAAAACGTCCCCTCCCTGAGCCAGGCCCTCCTTCCAAGTGATGCTCAGGGATGCAGGCAATAAGTTTTCTTAGTGAGTGTTTCATGTGAAGTGAGACGGGGGGACGTGGCAGGGGTGAGAGGCGGGTGAGGGGTGTGCCCCTCCTCCTCACTGCTGCCTACCAGCTGTGGGGTCTGCTCTGTGCCCCTGGCTGCTCTCACAGCCCCTCTGCCCACAGGTGAGACGGAGCATTTCGTGATGAAGCTGATCAACAGGCCCATCATCGTCCTGCGTGGCGAGCACGGCTTCATCGGGTGCCGGAAGGTGACCGGCACCCTCGACTCCAACCGCTCCTCCTACGACGTCTTCCAGCTGGAGTTCAACGACGGCGCCTACAACATCAAGGGTGAGTGTCCAGGGGTGGCTGTGGGGTGACGGCCATCGGGGTCCCCATGGTGGCTCACGAGGCCACCTTGTCCCCTCTCCTGCAGATACCACTGGGAAGTACTGGATGGTGGGGAACGAGTCATCCGTCACCAGCAGCAGCGACACCCCCGTGGACTTCTTTTTTGAGTTCTGCGACTATAACAAAGTTGCCATCAAAATCAATGGCAAATACCTGAAGGGGGACCACGCCGGGGTCCTCAAGGCATCGGCCGACACCATCGACGCCTCCACCCTCTGGGAATATTAATGCACTTTAGGGTACCTCCCATTGCCAACTTCTCTTTCCCTTCTTCCGTCCTCTTTTCCTTTGGGTTCTGTTTCTCCTCTCTGTAACAGGATTTTCAGACTGGCTTGTCCTTCCCTCCTGCCGTAGAGTTGGTGCATTATGTGGGAGGTGGGTCTCCGTAAATCCCTGTAAGAACTGGAAAAGTGGTGGGGCAGCCCGCCTATAGCTTTGTAGAAGGGTCTGTCTCTATCCCCCATCCCTGTTTCCCTCCAGGTTTGCTGGGCTTGGAAACCGCCGTATCCCCCTCCCAGCCCCGAGCATCACCTTAGGTAGTTGATTATCCTCTCCTTGATTGAAAAAAGGGAATAAGATCACCTCTGAGCTCACTTCTGCCATATCAGCACTGGCACTGCCTCAGTCTGTGCTGCCAGTGTCCCCTGGAGCATCCTCCCATCCTGCCCTGCTCCAACGAGGGGCAGAGTGACGGTGCTGGGCTCAGCCAGCTCCTCCCGGCTCCTCTGGCAGCTTCTCTCCCCTCCTGGCTTTCAGGGCAGGTCCATCCCCAGCTGAGCTGTAAGAGGTGACCTTACATATCACAGCATCCCTGGGGACGGGGCTGGTGTGTGCTGGCACACATCCCTGCAGAAGGGCCAGCAAGCTGCCCCCTCCCCTCCCCATACACCTGGAAATGATTCTTTAGGGTGATCCCGTCTGGAAAGCCTCAGCCTTTCATCTCATAGAGCCCTGCGCTCCTCATGTCCCTCTGCCCCTCCTCACGCTTCTGGCTCTGGAGGAGCACCCCAGACCCTGATGGTGGGTCCAGCCTGGCAGGTGCCTGCCCTGAGGCTGGTCCTGCTGCTGTGCCTGGAGGGGGGGGCGTGGGGGGACACAGAGCCAGCCCGTGCTGGGGTGGGGGCTTCATCCAGCCCACCTCTCGTGGGGCCTCGGTCCCAGCAGGAGCCTGGCTGGCCCACGCGACCTCCCCGGGGTGGTGGCTGGAAGCATAAAGTGCAGATTTTGGTTTACAGAATAGAAAAGTTCCTTAGCAAACTTTGCACAGTGATACTTGCTCAGTACCTTTGTTGTTTTTTTTTCTTCCTCTCTCATAAAATACTGGAACAGTGAAGTGAATCACTGAACACCTAATGCTGAATTAGGAAGCGCCCGCTCCTGCGGGCTCCCCTGAAGGGGCAGCTCCTGGTCCCACCACCCCCGGGGCACCTGGGCTGGGCTCTCATGAATCACAACCCTACTGGAAAAGAAAAAAAAGAAAAAAAGACCAAAACAGTATTTTTGTTAGTCTCTATTTATATATGCTCTCCATGGCACTGTGTGACCAGCTGTTGTCTGTACTAGGTCTGCATTAGAGTTTAACGCTGTCTGTAATGGGTGATGCTACGTGTTCTTTAGGGTGTTGAAAGGCACTTTATCCTTTGGGGCCTTCCCAGGGCTGGTATTTGCTCCCTGCAAACACACCAAGGAGCCTTTTCCTGCGTGGGCCCCCTGCGGGGGGGAGCGCTGGTCCCAGCCCACGCCAAGGGTGCTCGCGGCATCACTGCCGTGCCAAACCAGGGCCGGTCCCTCTGCCAGAGGCCAGGCAGGGGCTCGTCAGCCTTAAAGCCATGAGGAGGGACTCCCTCCGTAGGAGCTTGGTGCTAAACTCAGCTGGGAGAGCGAGCGACTGTCCCCTGCCAGGGGGACAACTCCGGGCTGGGATCCCTTGCCGGTGCAGGGGATCCCGGCTGGGACTCTACCTCGGCTCTGCACTCACATCCAGGGGCTGCCCGTGCCCCCCTGGCTCCACGTGCCCCCCCGGGCACCACGCTGCCCCTTGAAGGACCAAGTGTCTTGATGAAGCCCTGCGTGACCCTGTGACTCGACACACACTTTCGCTGGCCTTCACCCCCACCCCGTGTTGCCTCCTCCCCGTCCCTGTTGCAGTTCCAACCATGTAATTCCCGCTCCAGCTTCTCCCGTGTGACACTAGGTCAACATCTCTCCTGTTTCCTCTTATCGGGTGTCGTGACTCTCTGAAAACATCTCACTCTGAAAATTTAAAGTTTTGGGTTTGTCCATTTTTTTTTTATTATTATTATTTTTTTGTAAGTGCCATTTGTATAACTTAAAAAAAAATAGCTTCAAATGGAGAAAGATTAATTAAAAAATAAAACCTGCATTCGGATTCAAACTGGTGTGTGGTCTGTTAGGGCTGCAATGGCCTTTAAATGAGAGGCATGAGCCCATGGAGATTTGGGGTGGTGGAGCCTTTGGGGACCAAATTGCCTGACAAAGATTGGGCTGGCTCTAGGGGGCTGAGGAGTTGGTGGGAAGGGAACGGTGACCAACAGGCTCATCTCCGTGGAGCAGGTGTAAAGCCAAAGCCAGCTGGAGTCAGGGTCACCTCTGGAGATGCCCAGAGCAGCCTGAAGTCACTGAGCCCACAGGGCTTGTCTGGGAATGGGTGACACATGGATGGGTCAGGGGGAAGCACCAGCAAACCATCTCACCTGCAAAACCAGCTCTCTTGCCCTTGCAGTCAGGAGCAAAGCCATGCCCTCAGGGAGCTTTTTCTCCTCCTGACTCCAGTGTTTCACCTCCATACCACGGCCCAGCCAGGAGGGAAGAGCAATGGGATGTTGGTTTTGGGTGCATGGTTTAGTGGGGGTCAGCAATCAGCCCCCTCTGCTCAGTGATAAGGAGAAGGGGAAGATGGACTAAGGAGGGAAGGAGGTGGGGAGCCCAGCCCATGTGTCCTGCCAGAGCAGCCTGGATGGCTGGGATGTGCCCACAGCCCTCCAGAGACAGCTGAAACCGGCCCTGAAACTCAACCAACCCACTCTGGTGTGATGCTGGGGCCGGGCCCAGTGCTGGCTGTGCAGGGGGGGTGCAGCAAGTGCTTACGGGGGACTGGGGCCAACTCCTGCACTGAGAGCAGCCACCCTTCACCACCACAGCCTGGCTGGGCACCTGCAGGGAACTGGTGGGCTCCTGCTTGGCTTTAAAAAGGTAAAGCTGGTTTGAAAAAAAGCAAAGTTTGGGAAAGGGGAAGCTCCCCCCAAACACACACTGTGGGGGGAGAGCGGGAGGGCTTCGCCTGCAGAGACCGTCACCATCAGAGGGGGGTTTGAGCACTGCAAGGGCCAAAGGAAGGAAGGATGTTCATTCCTGACTGTAAACAGGGAGAAATCAGGGCAGAGCAGGAAACGCTGAGCAGCTCCAATTGCCCTCACTGTGACACCCGTGTGTGCCTGGCTGTGGCACCAACTGTGACACCAACTGTGACACCCGGCCTGGGGAGGAGGCAGCTCTGCCAGCTCTGGCAGTGGGTGCCTGTACAGGGACGGGACTCTGGAGCTGCAGGAAGGACTCTCATCCTTCCCCTCTCCCCCAGCTGCCAACACACATTTCTTTTTTTCCCCTTAAGGCCGGATTCTGCATTTACCAACATTCACCAACACTCCTGCAAGAGGGGAACCCCCCTTCCTCCCCATCCTGGTTTCCATTTACAGGAGAGACTGGAAACCATTTTCTACCCCATCCAGTTTTATCTTGGGAGCATGTGGAACATATTAAGCTGTTCCAGGAGGGTCAAATGGGTTTTGCCTTGCGACCTGTGGAGCTTTCACTGGCACAGGCTGGGATCTGGCCCCACGCCCTGGCATTATACCAGCACCAGGCTAGCACAGGCAGGATGGGAGGATGATGTTTTGGCTGTTTCAAAAGCACAGAGGTAAAAGCCAGAGTGCACAAATTTATTTACAAAAATTCAAATTACAATATAATACAGGAACTTTTTACACACAGAATATTAGAACTGTTTACTACCAGAATGTAAAGAAAAATATTTTTTGGGGTTTTTTTCCTTTTTTTTTTTTTTTAAATAAACCACCTATTTATTTTCAGCTATTGTTATACAAAGTTGCAGAACATGCACATCTTTACAGGTTTTTTTTCTTTTAATACAACATTTTGCTAAGTGCAAATACTAAGTTTCTCTCTCCACCTTTAAGGCAAGTAAATGGGACACTGCAATTAGCCATAAGAAGTACCTGTTATGGGATCAGCCTGGGCACAGCAACCTCCCCGATGCCTTTTGACCTTTAAAACCTTTAAACAAGTGGCTCCAAGGACTGTGGGGCAGGAGGGAAAAGGGGATAGAGGAGTTAGAGACCAAGTCACAGCTGGATCTGGTGGTTGTGCAGTAAGTTTTGGGGCTTTTTTCTTCTTTTTTTTTTTTTTTTTTAATAAATCAACAGAGACTCAGAAACCACAACTCAAGGTCTCTCAGGTTAGGGGGGAGGAGCAGCCATGAGCTTTGGCTGCAAATTTTTTTGGTGCCAGGGGTGTTTCCTTGGGGAGAGGAGCAGTGCTGGGAGCCCAGAGCCAGGCACGGTGCACATCACAGACCAGGCATCTATTGATCTTCTCTTGGACCCAAATAAGCTCTTGGTTTTGGAAGGAGACATGGGAATCACAGTCCTCTCTTCCCCTACATCCTCCAGGCTCCTCTAGGACCATAACCAGGGCAGCAGTGACCCTGATGGATCAGTCACCAACCTCTGCCTGATGCTTCTCCATCCCTCCTTGCTCTCTCTCTGCACTTCCCTCTGCCAAGGCTCAGTTCTCCATGCCCACACACCTCTAGACACACACTAAAAGGTGGGACTGGACCACCAGTTTTGGCTGGATCACCATCGTATTTCCTTCATAGTTTGGGCCTCTGGTCCAGCAGGTGAGCTGTGCCCCAGCTGCTGCCCCCCACACTCCTCTGGGGAAGGGCCACTGCCTCGGGGAGCCTGGAGGGCTCACCTAAACCAGCCCTTGAGCCCAAAGAATCTCACCTATTAAAAAAACAGGATTGCCTTTCAACAAAGGAAGCCCCCCCTGCTTCTTCTGACCTGTCTCTGTTTTCTTACCCCCTGCTGCTGCTGTGACACATCCCTCCCTCCCCAAATCCAGCAGGACACCCTGCTCCTGGCTGCCACAGGACTCACTCGGTGCAAGGCAGCATTTAAACCTGGCTAAAACCCAGCTGAGCAGCAATTCATAAAGCTCCTGCAGCCCCCAGAAATAAATTAATTTAAAAAAATTCCAGCAGCAAGGGAATAGCAGTTGGTTATTAATGCCAGAGAGACCACGGCATGGACGAGCCGAGCGGAGCAGCCACAGGGTATGTTCGACCCATAGGCAAGGGGAAAAATTGCTGTCTGAGCTCCAAAAGGCATGGAAGTCCCTTCTGGGAGACCTTCCTAGGGACAACAGTCCCCAGATGCTGTCCCAGGCTCCTGTCCAGGAGCATCCCACCGACACCCTGCACCCAGCACTCCCTGCACACCCAACACGGGCTGGGGTTGCGGAGAGTGGCACACAGGGGTTGGCAGGAGCTGTGAGGTGGAGACAGGGAGTTTTACCTGAAAAAAAACCAATTAAACCCACAAAACACCTGGATGCTCAAATACAGGGGAGAATAACAGGAGGAGAAATGCACCCAGAGGGTTCCCAGCAGGACAGAACAGGATGAAGCCCAGAAAAAACCATCTGGAGAACAACAGCACAACTGGGCTGCTAAAAGCAGTCCAAGAAGAGGGGTGTTATTTCACTCCAAATATTTTCTTTTCTAGAAGGGGCCTGTACCAGACAGCAGAGCCAAGGGCTGTGGGGAAAAGGCTTTGTGCCACCCTCCTCCCACAGCCCAGCACTGCACCCGCCGCTTCTCACAAGGAAGTTTTGCTTTTCCCTCACTTCCTAAGCCCCGCAATACACAGGTTTAACTTTTAACACGCTTTTCCAAAGCCAGTACAGCTGACACACGCATTTGCAGAAGTTATTTAGTGCCATGGAAGCAGCCAGCTTCCTGCAGCATGAGGCTACAGTTGCCTGTTGGGTTGTGGGGGTTCAGGGACAGGGGCTCCTGGCCCACCCTGTCTGCATGCACAGCTATGGGAGTCGTTCCCACTTTTCCTACTACAGCACAAAGCACTGCCTACACATCTATCCGGGTGTTTCCCAGGCAGTTTTTGTAATAAAGGGCACAGCTTCAGCTCCAGGTGGTTCCAGCTTCTGTCTGAGCACTGCAGCCAGAAGCTGGAGGAGGTTTGGGATGCCAGAGGAGAACAGCAAAGCAAAGGCAACATTTTGGAAGCACCCACCTCTGGGGGAAAAGACTGAGCCCTTCAAAGGGGGGAAAGTTCAGTCCAGCCAAGGATTTGGGTGCCCAAATCTGCCACTTGCTAACACCTCCCAAACAGAACATGGCTCTGGGCTTCCCACAGATCTCAGCAATGGGATGGCTGCTGCAGCCCCTCACTCCACTTGCAGAGTGAGGAGTGCTAAAAATGCAAGATTGACTTGGTTTTGAATGGTTTATTTCTGCTGGGAGGTGCCAGCAGGGTCCAAGGATGCTGGAGAACATGGGAACCCCAACCCTGTGCCTCTCTGCAGGCAGAAGGATGGGGCAGCCACCTCCTGTTACCTTGTTCCTGAAAGTCTTACTCAGATGCCAAGTCTCTCCACCCTTCTCCCAAGACTCACATGACTGTGCAGCAGCTGCTCTGGCCAGCAGGAAGGAGGGATTTTTGGAAAGCCCCCGAGGAATGGCTGTATCCTTGTGCTCCACAAAGTCTCACTTTCCCTCCCACCAGCTGCCTGAACAGGCTTTGTCAAAACAAAACATCTGGATGCCCAACACAGGGTGGAATTCCACCCCTTGGAAATGCAGCACCAAGCCCTGTTGCAGCAGGGTTGCAAATGCTGGATTGCAAAGGTTTGGAGAAGCCCTAGAGAAGGTGCAGTGCAGGGACAGTGAGTCCCCTGGCTGCTGGCTAAACCCAGAGGGGCTGGAGAGGGAAGAGGGTGATGTGACGGGGTGGCTTTGCCCTGCAGTGACTCTCCAGGTCAGAACCGGTGCCGGGGCTGAGGGCCAAAGTGCATAGGCAAGTTGGGCTCCAGCTGCACATTGATCTGGGGAAAGTCAAAGTTCACCCTCATGTTGGGCAGTGGGGGCACGTAGGGAGCGGGGATGGGGCCGATGTTGAGGGGGATGTTGTTGTACATGGGCCGGACGGGAGGCAGCGGGAAGGGCGGGTGCACGAAGGGGTAGGGGGGCATCCGGGGTTGATGGAAGTTCTGAGGGACAGGTCTGGGGATTACTTCAATCCTCTGGATCTTCTCCACGGGCTTTTCCACGGGAGGGCCGATCCGCTTGAAGCTGTTCTCTGCAGAGGAGGAGAGCAAAGAACCAGTCACCCCACAAACCGAACTCCCCAGGCTCCAAGGTCTGACATTTGCCATCGGCCTCTTCCATCCCCAGCACAATTCCAGAGCCTGTTTCTCCCCACAGCATCACTGCTTACCCTTCCCTTGCTCCAGGTGCCACAGAGCACAGCACCAGCTTTCCAGGTTGGCTGCTTTATCAATGCCACCCCACAAAGGGGAACATCCCCTTCTCTCAGGATGTGGGGCAGCCCTTGTGCTCCCCACAACACAGCACAGAGGATTTGCTGCCCTTCAGCTACTTTGCCAAGTGGAGAGGGGACAGGTCTGTGTACCCACGACACTTGGTGCCACATCAGAGCTGGACACAAGCCTTGTGCCTGCCCACAGTCCCAGCAAAAGTCTGCAGGCAACAGCACTTTAAAGTTACATGGGTTTCTGGGAGGAACAGAAGCCAGTGAAGACACAGAGACTTGTCAGAAGCTGGGAACCCTATGTTGTCCCATTATCCTCAGTCTGATCCCAAAGCACAGCTACAGACTGGGACTTACCTCCATTCTTCTTCCTTTGCTCCTCTTCAGCCTCCTTCTGAATCTCCTGGATTATCTTCTCATCGTCTTCCTGGAAATCAGAGGAATACCCAAAGTCAGTGGGATAATTCCTGCTGCAGCAGCCTTCTGTTCTCTCAGTGCTGCTTTTCTTTTCAGCACAGGGAAAACAGAAAAGGGTGAATTTGGCTGCATTGTCCTCCTTTGGGGCTGGCCCAGGTCTAGCCAAAAGCAAGGCTGCAATGGGGGAACTGCAGCACAAATAACCTGCACTCTATGGAGTATGACCAAGAGGCTTGGATCAGCTTTCCAAGGAGATCAGCACTAAAAATCATTGACTTGATGGAAACCAGAGAACTGCAACCCAGTTCCACCCCTCTGAAGAGCTGTTAATCTTTTAAATGGCAATAGTCTATTAAATATTTACATTATACTAGCACTTGTAGAGTTTTTGGCCCAACAGCTGGAATTAACACAACTTAAATCCTGGCTCTAGTAGCTAAATGGTGCCATTTAGATCTTATCTGTAACTCTTAGAAGGGCATAAATCGCAATATGTTTCTTTAATGTCTGTCTGGAGGTTATAGCAAGAATATTCAGAGCTGCTGCTGAGAACACAAGGACAAGCCAGAAATTGAAATTGTCCTTCTGCCTCTCATCAGCCTCTGTTCTCTCGACGCAAAGGAGCATCGGCGAGATCAAACGGCGCGGTGAGGCCTCGGGTGAGATTCTGCACTGCACCACACAAAAAACAGCTCTCAGGGTCACAGAGCCCACAGCTCTGAGGACAGAACTCCCTCCCAGTGCCAGGCACTGCCATATGTGCAGCGATGGCAGCAAGGTCCTGCCGATCCCTGCAGGGCTGAGCTGCTGCTGCTCCGTGTCCCTCAGGGTGAAACCCTACCTGGCGCTTTCAGAGGGAGCAGCCAAACCTCCTGGAACGTGTCTGATCCTCGGTGCTGGTTATTAGGGAAGGAAGGCAGAGAACAGGAGCTGTTGGGTGACACATAACATCAGGCACTCTGTGCTCCTGCACCCAAAGGAGCGTTTGGTTTGCTCCAGCAGCTCTCCTGCAAGGGGACCAGGAGAGTACCCAAGAACCCCACAAGGTACAAGGCTCTGCTCTGTCTGATTCATCCTAATTTCAGTACTGCCAAAGCACACAAATTTCATCCTGAACGCTTTCAACATGGAAAATTAGGTATATTTTGAAGAGTGCTCTGGAACTAAATTCAAAATATGCTTCATGTGTGCAGCTATGTTGATATTATTTTAAGCTTCCCAGTTCTCATCTCACAGTCCTGCACGTGTCCAGCAGCAATGCCTGGGAAGCTTGGGGAAAAGTCCCCTCCTCCACCACCAGATAAGGTTTCCCTGGGAGACTGCAGTTATCTTAATGTGCAGAAAGCAAAAAACTCAATACTTCCCTCCCTTTTATTTTCCTGTGAGTCAATGGTTAAAATTAAGACTTTCCAGGACATGCCTTTTTTCTTTTCCAAGCAGGCTGCTTCCATGGACTGTTAATTACAGCCTATCTATCTCCATAAAAACTGCTGAAGAATGGCTCTTCTGAGCCTATAGGGAATGTCTAACTACCCCCCTTGTATCAGATTGTGATGTTCCCTGGCTGGAAAACCACCTGGGCATGTTCCACAGGCAACCAAACATCCCCTGCTCCTTTGCTGCCACAGAAGTGCTCTCAAAGTGTGGCCCCAAAGCTTTAAGACTTCATATTTTTTAATTCTCAGACTATCTTTTTGCAATGCTGTTGAAAATGGAGATAATCACCACTCACATTTTATTGCTACTTACTGAAAAAGATGTACTTGAAGGTGTTTTGCTTTTTTTTTTAGTTATAAGACAGGAAATATATTTTAAGCTCAGTTGAGCAAGATCACCCTATCTCCTTTCCTCACACAAAGGTACAAACCTCACCTTAAAGCCTAAAAACGTGCAGAAGTGTCTTTTAACTTCAAAATAAAAAGCTTTTACTTTAGTCTAAGTCTGTGATTATGAAAGAAATTCTTTCCCATGAGGGAGGTGAGGCCCTGGCTCAGGTTGCTCAGAGAAGCTGTGGCTGCCCCATTCCTGAAGTGTTCAAGGCCAGGTTGGATGGCTCTTGGAGCAACCTGGGATAGTGGAAGGTGTCCCTGCCCATGGCAGAGGGGTGGAGATGATTTTTAAGGTCCCTTCCAACAAAAATCTACGATTAACCCTCTGAAATGGTGCTTTCCAGGGACACCACCACTGGTGATGCTGCAGTTCCAGTCAGCCCTGCACAAACCTGGAGAATCAGACACACCAAGAGCACAACTCTGCACATCCTCCTGCAGCAAAGGCTGCTCGACCCTCCCAGTTTAAACTGCAGCTGACCTCCTTCCTAATGGGGCTGGACACATCCATCTGCCCCAGGGCCAGGAGCCACCTGCACCCTCACCAGGGTGACGCTGCTTCAATTACTGCGGCTCCCAGAGCGCCACGGGAAACACGGAACAGCAAACCCCATCTGCCAGACCTCCAAGACGACTCCTAACTCCCAAGGACAACATAAAACACCCCCCACAAATGCAGCAGCCAGAGGTCCCCACTTAACCCCTCTTGGGTTTCAGCTCACAGCACGCCCCGGGTGCAAAAAACCTGCCAGGAACAGACCTGGATCAGGATGATGAGTTCCTGACTAATTCTGCAAATTGCAGCAGAGGCACAACAAACCATGTGCCCAAGAACAGCACTTATCAGCTCTGTTGCTTCTCTGCTGATAAAAGTGTATTTTCCCATTGGAAGGTTAAGAAGTGCTTACGCTTAATCCCACATACCAACCCTTGGCCTGGAATTTTTTTTTTTTTTTTGCATCAGTATTTCTGAAAAACTGGTATCCATTAATATCAAAAGAACAAAAATACATTGCACAAGATGCACCTTCCTACTTAAGAGGTTGACATTAAATTTGGCAAGTGATGAATACACAGCACAGTTCAATAACTGCAGTATTTAGGAAAGAGCCACATCCCCGATGGAACAAAAGAATTGATGATATGTAAACAGCAAGATAATTTTAGGGTGTTCCTGAAAGAAAACTGATGCCACAAGTTCTACTTAATACATATTGTGCAGGTTAGAATTTAAAAAAAAAAGTCTCAGTGCTATTTTAGTGAATTTTGCAAAACACCTCTAATTCTTTGGTTGTTTTTTGATTCCACAGTAATTAGAGAGAGATGACAGATTCATCGAAGGGTGAAGCACCCACACCAAAAATTAAGATTTCATTAGCACACTTATGGCTGGTTTTGTGGTGAGAAACCATTTAACATCACATGAGGTGGAGGCTGCAGATTTCAAAAGCTCCTTGTGTCCGTTTCCCTGAGCAGGTTCATGCCCCTTAATAAAGGATTAGATTATAATTTTAATAGCCTGTTCACAGGCTGTGTGGACTGAGGGGATTCATCTTGTCAAGTTACCAGTCATCTTCCTGTCAGCTGCTTTGCCTACAGCAAGAAAAAAAAAAAGGGGGAAAGAAAGAAGAGAAAGAAAAAAGCAACCCCCCACACCCTGAGGGAGTCTCAGCACTGGCCAGCCCATGTGTTTTTGGAGCAAGGATGTAACTTGGCTCTCCTGTGAGAGCAGAAATGCAGGCAATGCTCAGCACAGCCCTTCCCCACACTCCGCTGCATCACGGGAGAAGGGAGGTGGCCAAGAGGAAAATGCAAAGATCTCTGAGATGTATTCACCCTCTTTATCTGCAAACACTGCAGAAAACAAAAGTGCTTATTTAACAGCAGCTGTGTTTTCAAGAGGCAAAACAGGACTGAGCTTTGCCCCAGACTCACCGTCAGGATGTTCCGTGCAGGAGCCATCCCCAGTCCCAGAGCCAAAAAAAATAAACACTCATCCCTGGTCAGTGTGGGAGCCTGCCCTTGGATCCCCCACCTGGGAAAGGATCTGGGCATGGAGGAGGCTTCTCCTTTCAGCCCTCTCCCATTGAATCCAGGGAATGCGGGAGCACGGAGCCAATCACAGCAGAACGGATGGCTCAGTCTGTGGATGGATTAGCTGAGGAGACGGGTTGGGTTGCTAAGAGAGACACTTTTTCATGGCAGGGAGGCCTGTTACAACAATGCTGGTGCAGGGGAGCCTCATCCAGCACCCACACAGGGTCCTGCCACATGCAGAAAGAGCCCAAGGAGAAACAAGCTGCCCTTGGGAATGAGAAAATACAGCAGCAAAGGAGATAAAAGCTCAGCAAGTCACACAGAGACAACCTCCCCCCAAATAAAACCTCCTCTGCCCAGAACAAAAGTGCCAGCCAGGGAGCTTTTGAAAGCTCTGTTTTTATCTCCTGTGCTTCTCGTTATCTTTAATTATTAAGTGTCACAGGAAAGCGGCTGCCGCCTCCTGAAAGGAGGGAAAACAAGAGACCTGGTGACTATTTCTGGGCTGTGCAACCCCTCCCCTACTTTAGAAAGTGCTCCACCACCACTGCCTCCCCCCTTCTGCCCCCTTTTACTGCTTTCTTTTTCCACGTACGTGTGGCCGCAGCCGTTACTAATAAACTTGAAATGATTTTTCGCGACAGAGGCTTCCAAAGGACTAAGGGGTTTTGTTTCAAATCATTCCCAGATCAGCTGCGGAGAGCCTGAGCAAGAACAGGCATCGGCTGTCTCCGGCGTGTTCCTCCATGCAGCAGGAAGCAGGGATAAAAGCAGGCTGTGTTGTAACTGGAACAGGGCATCCGCAGTGCTGCAGGAAAAGGGGGGCCGGGATGGGGACGAAGCACACGCTGGCGTTTAAGAAATGCAGAGTTATTTTAGCAACAGGCATTCCACATGGATGGCTTTCTGCGAATTCCCTGGATTAACCGTATGCTTATGACCGAGGCATTTTATAGCAGTTAAAAAAAAAAAACAAACACCCAAAAAATCTACCACAAACCCCACATCCTAAATTTAGGGGAGTTTCCCCCCCGCCTTCCAAATCCTGAAGGCAGCGCCGTGCACTTCATGCATTTCCTTAATGCATTTGAAGTTTTGCACAGTGTTCGCTCAGCATCATCTTTTTACGACACCAGAAGGAGGGATAATTGCAAACACCTCATGATGATTAGCCTTCTGCTTTGAACTTTAGCAATGAGCCTTTGGGAGGGGTTGAAGAGTTTACCGAAAACATCTTAAACTTTGAAGCCAAAAAAAAGCCTCTGTGCAACATTACTGATAGCCCAGAGATGAGTATTAAATTCAAAATGATACATTTGAGAGCAGAACCTGGTTTACCAAAACAGCCAGAATGCATTAATCAAATTGCATCACGGGATTTGTAAAAGCTGGATAAAATGCACACAGCAAGCTCAGGTTTGCCACAGATATTTAGAAATCAGGGTAAACACAGCCCCCGTGTCCCAGAGCCAATTTATAGAATCTTAGACTATCCTGAGCTAGAAGGGACCCATAAGGATCATCCAGTCCACCTCCTGGCCCTGCCCAGGTCACCCCAACAATCCCACCCTGTCCCTGAGAGCACTGTCCAAATGCTCCTTGAGCTCTGGCAGCCTTGGGGCCACGACCACTGTCCTGGGGAGCCTGTTCAGTGCCCAGGCACCCTCTGGGGGAAGAACCTTTCCCTAATATCCAACCTAACCCTCCCCTGACACAGGTTTGTGCTGTTCCCTTGAGTCACCAGAGAGCAGAGATCAGAGCTGCCCCTCTGCTGCCCCTCATGAAGAAGCTGCAGACTCTGATGAGGTCTAACCTCAGCCTCCTCTTCTCCAACTGAACAGACCAAGTGACCTCACCTGCTCCTTGTATGGCCCCTCTAGACCTTTCCCCATCTTCATGGCTTTCCTTTGGATGCTTTCTAACAGCTTTATTCCCACTGCTCCTTCCCTAGCTTTGTCTCTGGCAATATTGCATCAGCCCCTCCTGCAGCTCCCAGCAAGCCGAGCCAGAGCCCCCATGGGCTGCAGGACAGGCACATGAGGAGTTTTGGCCAAGCAGCTTCCTGGGAAGATCTCCTGGAACATGTTCACCTCCTACAGGGGCACAGGGCACCAATTAGCTCCAGAAGAAACGCAGGGATTAAACAATTCCTGCTGCCCACAGCCTGACTGCAGCTTGTCCCAGAGCCAGCAAATATTGCAGCGATACTCTTCAATCAGACTCCAGCCTGATTACAGCGTAGGGACAAGATTTTAACTAACCTTTAATTATGGGAAATGTTGAAGCTTCTGCTTTACTCTCTCAAGATCACTTGAGACAAAGACTAAGAGATGCCGTTCCTAGAGGACTGTCTTTAATTTGTTTTTAACCCAAGCTAATGAATAGGTTTTACTTATACTTTCACAAGAATCATTTCAGGCTCGGAAAACATTAAACATGTGGAAAAGAACAAGGGTTCCCCATTTTAAAGAAACCTGAATTTTGCTGTAAATAATAGGGAGCGAGACCCAAACCAGATCCTTCACAGGTGGAGATCATCCCTGACAATGGACAGGACACTGCTGATGCAATGGTCTTTTGCTCTTTCAAATCCTCCAATTCCTTTCTCCTCTTCACACCCACCAGGATAACTCCTGTTTTCACATCCCATATGAGAGCACAGATCACCCAGGAAGGGCTGGGATGGTGTCACTAAGCCCCTTATGAAGGAGGAAAACACACACAGGTACCCACCACCATTTCGGCTTCAAGCCAGCAGTTGAGTCTCACGTTACTCTTTGCACTGCAGCAAGGACAGTCACCCAGCTTCACCTCCCCAGCCCACCAGCGCTCTGTCATCCAAAAAATAATAAAAAAATACAAGGGCAGGCAGTGCCAGCCCTGTGCTGACAGCGGGAAATTTTTCTTTGCCACAACATCGGTTAATTAGAGAGCTGGAAAGGGCCTGGTGACAGTGGCCTCTTTGTGCTGCTTATTTATTTATTTATTTGAAAGTACAGTACGAGCTTTTTGAGGGGCCTCATGTTTTCTCTGGCTCTGAACAAATGCCATCACCCAGCACAATCACCAGCCTGACGGGAACAACGGATGACAGCGCTGCCGGACCCTGGATTCGCATCCTGGTGGAAAATGGGGAGCAGTGGGACAGGAATCCCAGAAGCACGTAACCAGGTGTTGGAAACACTAGAGGGGTGCCTGGAAGGAGGTGTCTGTGTTGGTTTAACAGCTTACATTGACAGGATAATGCAGGGAATAAAAGCAGGCAAGCAGAGGACTAGGAAGTTTATGCTGGTTGAGACATGCTGGGAGATCCCCAAGAGCCTGCAGGTAGAAGGGAAGGATTTAGAGTGGCTTTTCCTTGGCTCCATGCAGACACAGGACTGTGCACATCCCCTGCAGAGAGGGGGGCTGGGAGCAGCCTGGAAAGCTACAGAAGCCCGAGACAAAGAAACACTGGGAAAAAGGAAGCTCAGACAAGCCCAGGGAAGGCAGATCCACATTGTTGCTCTACAGCTTTGCTGAAATCAGGAAATTCAACTCCTGCTCCTACCAACATTCCTTCTAGATTTCTGGTATTGAAGACCTCTATTTACAGAGATGCTGCAGCAAGTTTTCCCATGTCTGTCACAGCTATGAGCTGTATTAAGTTACTACAGCTTCTCTCACAGCTCTCTCCATGCTTCAGCTCTCCCTTTGCAGCTGTTCACAACAGCCCTGAGAACAGACTCAACTACAACTCCAGGCTCCCAGACAGCTTTCCAAAGGTTCCATCGCTGTGATGGGACTCAGAATCAGCAGTCAGATGATCTGGGCACCAAAACCACAATTACCTTTCCCTCCAGATGCCAAGCCATGCCAACACCATCTCAGCTGCAAAAGTAGAAATGAGTCCCAATAATCCCAATGCCAGCTATTGTGCCTGGAGCCAGCAGCTCCCCACCAGCTCTTTCCACAAGCCTTGCTCCCCCAAACAGTGCTCAGAGCACTTCCAGCCCTCATCTGACAGAAGCTGTTTTACCTAAAGCGACACAAGCTCCTTCCAAGCTGTGGTCAGATGTGACCCTGTGCTGATGCAGGACAGTGTGGTTTTTAGCTGCCCTTGGGAAGGGAAAAAAGTTGAGTTGGCTAAAACCAGCTGTTCTCCCCAGTGGAAGGTGCATATTTCAATGTGCCGGCGTGCAACGGTGATTGAAACTGGGGTGAGAATCATTCACAAAACCCCTTTGTTACTTACTGTGGGATCTGTCCAGAGGGAGCACTTGGCACAGTCCTGGCAGGGCGCCCCGGGGGAGCGGGGGTGCTGGCAGAAGTGGTCGTAGCCGTTGATGGCAGCCCGGCAGAGGTAGCACATCTGGGCGCCGCAGCGGCACGACATGCGGTTGCAGCCCTCGGACTTAATCAGGCCGGTCCCACACTTGTGGCATTTCCTAATCCGGGCAGCTGTCATCTTCTCTTCTCTGCAGGAGGAGGGAGAAGAGTTACCAAAGGGGTGTTTTGACTCACCAGCCTGTGGTACAACTACTGTTACACTGCCCCAGCGATGCTTTAGCCCCCTCCTCTTTCCTCCTACACCATCCCCACACTCCACCGCTGTTCCAAAGAGGTCCAGGCTCAGCTCCACTTGGAGCCAGCCCACGACAACTCAAGAACAAAATAAGTGAAAAAAAAGTCAATCACTGGCTGCATGCTGCAGCCCTGATCCTGGTTTCCATGAGAGCCAAAGCACCAGGCTCTGGCTTGGGAGGAATTGGAGCAGCAAGTTCAAGGGCCAAAGGGCACGTGGATGCTTGACTTGGCTGCAGAGAAATACAGCCAGGGAGATAAAGTTCGGGAAAAGCAAACCCTTGGCTGTCACCTCTAGCTGGTTTTATGTTGCTCTGGCTACAAGTTGCCACGACCATACATTCTTTTCCAAGCCTGGCTGCTACGCTCCAGATTTATTTGGTTTTTTGTTAAATTTAAATCAGGAAGTGAAAAATAGTCACATCTTTCCCCATAGTCTTGGCTTTCCCTCTTCTCCTAAAATTCTCCTAAGATTTTCCAGAAAATTGGAAAATTGCTGTTTTAGGTTTAAGAGATGGGTTCATTCTAAACAGAGCACAAGTGGGAATCCAGGACAAAAGCACAGTCCCTGTTCCCAAGGGACACTCTGGCAGCGACACACGCTCCAGCACAGGCTCAGCTCGCAGCAATACTATTTTGGCACAGAAATGGAAGAAAGCCTTGGTCATTTAATTAAAAGACTTAAGAATATAAATTATCATCCTAAGGGCCAATTTCCTAACCGCTGGAGATCATGTTACGCTTTAGTTCACAACCTAGAAGTGAGATTTGATGACAGAAGAGCAAAGACAGAGTGTTTTCATGGAGGGAAGCACAGTTCTGTGCTGGCCTGGCAGTGGGGAAGGATCATCCTTAGCCAGGCATCTCCACCCAGCTACTTCAGCTACTTGGGAGATGGCAGGGAGGTATTTTGAGGATCACAGCCCCACAAACTGCTCCAGCAGCACAACCAGAGGAGTAGGGAGTGGTGAGGTGGGAACTTCTCTGCTTTGCAGCCACCCAAAGCTCCCACACAGTTATACCCAGCATGACCTGCACTTGGGCATTTGGAGATGTGCTAAGAATAGAGACAAAAAAACCAACTTGAGACTGACTTTCCTCCAAGCTGCAGCTGCTCTTCCCTCCTCTACTCAACAGGATGCTGTTGATGCAGATTTTTTTTTTGGAAACTTTGAGCAAGGCAGGAAGTTTGGCCTGAACTCCAGCTGTGCTTCCCTTTCCTTATGCAGGGCTTCAAAAGGAAGTTTTTATTGTATCAGACAGTAGACTCATCTATGCACAGCAACATTCTGCTAAAGGTTTTGAAACCTGTATTTTTTTTCCTTATTAGGGACATGACAACTCGTTCCTCCTCCCTCTCACCCCTCTTTCTTACAGGGAAAGGAGTGGCAGAGAAAAGAAGAGCTATCAAATCTGTAAAGATTTTATTCTGAATTAGGGACTGAGGGATGAGCAAGCAACAGTCATTCAAATCCCATTCAAAACCTCAACTCAGACCAGACACACTAAATCAGAGGAAAGGATTAGGCAATGTGGGCAAGCCCCACTTGGCTGCACCAGACGTGTAACCCCATGGATGAACCTTCCCTTATTTCCTCAAGGCAGAGGATTTTGTCATTTATTGTAGCAACAAGAGAAATTAAACTGAAAAGAATTCACGGAAACACTCGGAATTGACACCTGCCCATTTCAAAATGTGACTCCCTTCTGTAACAATTCCTACAAACTGGTTAGAAACAAGGACAAGGTTCTGTAAGAAAATACATCCTCTCACAAAGCAGCAGCTGAGCAAACAGTGCAGGTCTCCACTCCAGATTTTCAAAGGGTAATAAGGACTTACTGTGACTCAATCCACTTCTTTGCCTCAGTGCAACACCTCCCTTCTCCCCCCAGCAATGCTAATGGGGGTTTCTCACCTCCAAGCAGGAGCAGGTGCCAGCCTGGAGACACCGGGGCAGCCAGAGGAGCAGGCTGGGCTGGTGACAACTTTCCCACATTCTCAAATTACCAGCTGGATCTGCTGCCAAGTATCTTTCACAGACAGAAATCCCATCCTGGGAGCCGCCTGACCCCTCAGCTCTGACATCCCCAGGACCCCTCTGGTGGAAGGCAGTGACAGCCAGCAGAAATTGAGGGTCACGAGGGCAGTGGGGGTCTCACCCCCTCCACACCATTGCCCAGTGTACTCTGGTTACCAGTTCATCCACACTCCTGTTTTTCCCTGGTTATGGAGTTCACTTACATGGATGTCCTGTATTTGATGTCGTCCTTCTCAGCCAGCTGCTCACAGGTGAGGTTCATGTGCTCCTTCCACAGCCCCTGGCACTTCCGGCACGTTTCCTGAGGAGGACAACAAACATTAAGGGAAGAAAAGACCCAGCACACCACTAACAGCACCAGGAACTGGAAGAATTCCCATCTCTTCCCCCACCAAGCTGCAGGTTCTCAGCTGAGGATGGTACAGAGGTCTGCAGGTCTGTCCTCTGCTGAAAACCAAAGTCCATAAATAATTGGAGCCAAGGGACAAGGCACAAGAAAATGGATACAAAATTAATCCATAAATCCTAGTTCACCTAAAACTCTTGGGACAGCTGCCAGGTTCACTGGTTATATCCCACAGGAGACTGCAGAGGTGAAAATGTGGTGCCTAAAGTACATCAAGTTCATCTGTTCCCTGACCAAGAACCTCCTTCATATAAAGGGCTTTTAGTTCTGTAAGCGATGGAAACCTTGCAGCTGCATCAAAAACTGTGCTTCACCAGGCATAACAGCAAATATATACATATATAAAAAAATGTTTTGTAAAACCTCACAAAATAAAGTTAAAGCAGTTTACATGATTAAACAGCTTAGAAAGGCAGAACATGGAAAAACATCCATAAAACAGAGATGAAATATGAACAAATATTTACAAATTTAACCAGAATAGCTGAACTATACAAGTGACTGAGCTCTCTTGTTCTTGCAAACTCTTAAGCAACAAGGCTCTAATACAGGACTGGTAAAGCTGCATGGAGCAGGATTGCTGTGGAGGCACAACTGGCATGGGAGCTTGGACCAACACTGGGGACAGAGCTGATTTTTTGGCTGGTTAGCCAAAGAAAACATAATTTTGTTTTGGGCCAAACAAGAGATTTTTCCTTTAATTTGAGGAGGATTAAAAAACATCCAGATCAAACTTGAAAAAAATACATGTTTTACAATCCAACTGTTTCATCTCCAGGATGGCTGGGGTTCAGGCTCTCAGATCCAACTTTCCCCCTGGCAGGAAAACCCATATGGCTGTGCAGCATCCTCTTCCCCTGCACACCAAAGAAGGTCCTAAAAGAGCTTTTCCCAGCCCTGGTCTCACTATCAGCAAAAGACGACGACGGCAGAGACAGATCTTATTTGATTGCATTGCCTTAATTTTATTTTAATGAAGAAATTGGACGTTTATATGAGACACGATAGAAGGAACTGCTTCAAGACACACGTAGGCAGCAACGCTCTTTTGATCGCGAATCAGACAAACAGGATGAAGGCCAAAGCTTCCAAGGAAGCCACCCCAGGAGGGGGGAGTGTGAAATGTGGACTTGTTTGTATCTGTGCTCGCTGGGAGATGCCCAACAGCTCGTGCTTTCATCTGGAGAATGAAAGGCTCCTCGTCCTGGCTGCTGAGCTGGACATGTTTGCAGACTGCGGGGTAAGGGCTGGAGCAAGAGCAGAGCCAAGTGTATGACTGGGTGTCCCAAAAGCTCAGCAGAGGATTTTGTGATCACTCACCTTGCAAATGCACTCCTTGGCAGGCAGGCCCTGGTTTTAAGGGGCAGTAAATACCTTGGTTCTACTGATCTTCATGAATCATTCATCACACCCCTGTATTTTCCTGCTAAAGCTGTTAAAACAGGCACCATTTTGTGTGCATTTTTGGCAGCCCACATCTGGCTGTTGGAAGCATTGGAGGATCAGACTTGGAGCTGCTCACATACCTCGATGAGGACCCACCTTCCCCCTTTATTCCCAACACCTGGCCACATGCCATTCCAAGATCAAAAGTGCCTCATGGTGTTTTTTTACGTACACCAAGGGTTAAAAAACAGCCTTTGGAGCCGTGTTACACAGAACTGCTTTCACACGCCAGCAACAGAGATTTAACAGCTTTTTGCCAGGAGGGTTGGCACACTTTCCAGCCAGGAGCCTGCTATTCCCAATTACTTAACTCCAGGAGCCTCCTCTGCTGCCGAATTAGAAACTATGCCCTTCTGAAGCAGATGGTGCCGCTTAGACCTTCGTCCCGAGTCATTCCCCTTGCCTCTTCTTACTGCCTCCAGCCTGGCAGCTACTGGAAACAACGTTCTCCCTGGAGCCCAGGCTGCTGTTGTTTGCCAAACAGTTGTCTCCTGCACTCAGGAAAAGGCATTTCTGTGCACGGCCATGGAGATTCCTGGGATGGCACGACAGGAGGTATCCGGTTCTCCGTGTGACTGCAGCACAGCGGGTCCATCACAGCTGTGCACATTTCTGGGATCCCTCCCAAGCCGTGTTGTCCTCAAGGAGCTGCAAACCCACAGGCAGCTCTGCCTGTGCCAGTGCACCCCGTGCAGGGGATGTTCCTGTGGCTTCCAGACTCCCGAGTGTCACCTGGTGCTGCCTCTGACTGTGCCACATCCTCTCCAGAACACAGGCAGGGGAATATGGACCATTCATGTGTCATTAGCAGAACCTGATGGAACTTTTCCCTCTACCCAAGACAATGGCACGTTGTTGGTGGTTACAGGAGCTCGTGTTGGACCCCTTCACACAGAACTGGGAGGGAGCCCGTGGTTCAGACAACGGCAACTGCTCCAGTGCTAGAACTGAGGCCACAGCCCTCGCCCAAGAAAAGTGAGTTTGATTAATTTTTACTGAGTCAAATCCAACCCACTTGACTGATGAGGGTTTTGCACATCTCACACGATGACAATTCCGAACTCTACAATTTCCACAATGGGTGCTTGTATTTTAGAATCAGTTTTTTGTTTGATAATGGAACATACTCTGCCATTACCATATTAATTAACCTAAACACACAGTAGAATAGATGATTTTTTTGCAACCAGTCTAGATTATTTCCATGGGAAGAGTAGTACTTGGCACTAAGACTGGTTACAGCAATATCAGGCACCACCTAAACCCACACAAAGAGGGAACAAGTCCTTCCCAGCCCTGAAATCTACTCCAAAGTGTAGCAGACAAAAAGCAGGTCAGTCCACCAAAATAAAGATCCTTCCCAACTTTTCTGGCACTCGGTTCCTTTTCTGGTACCCTACTGTATTCATGTAGGAGTACCTGAGTTTTAGTTTTAACAGCACTTCAGCTAAATGCATTGTTTCTGGATGGTGAGAATTCCATGTGTTCTGCTGCCTTCCCCTGCCCTCGTAGGCAGGGACAGCCAACCCAGCTCCCAGCTTCCCCACGAGGGAAGTTTGCAGAAGCCTTGGCATTGGGAAGCAGCTCCAAACCAGGCACGGATACAGGAGATTAAGTATTTGCTGCCTGTTACATCTGCCCGAGCTTGGCAGGCAGCCTGGGACAGCCCATTAATGCGCCCGGCCGAGGAGGGGAGGATGTGATGGAGAGGGTGTTTAATCGCACCCTGTAATCTCCTCACTGTACATCTGTTGGGGGTAGTGGCTCTGCTTCCTCCCCCCTGGCTGCCAGGAAGCAGCCAGGATTAGCACAAACATGTTTGGGTTCAGGAGGATCCTTTGTTCCCAGGGTCAGCGGTGTTTCTGTGCTCAGGGCCAGCCTGGCTAAGGGTGGCCACTTGGTTTTTAGCACCACAACCCTTAAACGCCCTTGTCAGTTGTCCCAGCACCTAAAAGTGGTAGCAAGGAAGTGTTTTATGCAAAACCTACCACCTTCCTTCCTCAGCACTTCCAATGGATGCTACAGTTTTAAGCACAGCCTAAACTTTTTTTCTTCCAATCTATCATCAACTAAAAATGGACCTCTCCAAGGTCCAACCCACAGATCAGGAGGTGAAAAAAACCCATAAACTCCAAGGAATCAACTTCTCCCCGCCAGTCTCCACGCCCTCTTGGCCACAGTCAGGCTGTTGTATGCACTGCTGGCAACTGTAGATGCAGCAGCTTTTCCTGACTGCAACCCAAACAAATGCCACATGGACAGAAACATCAGATGATACCCACGGATCCCAGCCCGACTGCCCACGGCATTCCTGCCTGTGCCGTAGGAGTTTACACGAAGCCACTTACTGAGCAAAACGCAAAGGGGGTGGGGGAAGCTCAACTTAAACAACAACAGGCGATGGACCCGGCTGTCGGCACCGCCCTCCCCTCCCAGTGGTGGCTCTGGGCCGGGTCCAGCGCTTCCCTCAGCTTTCCATATGTTGGTTAATTAAATCCTTGTGCTGCCGCTTCGATTCCCTGCATCCCCCAGGAAGGGCGAGGTGCTCACTCCAGTGGTCTCTGCCGGTTGCACACATGGGGATGTTTGCTGGGAGGGAGGTAAAACGCCCTGTGAAACGTTAGGATGGAGCCCCAGTGATTGATTCGCTGCTTCCTCCTGCTCTCGGACACACAATAGCACAGGCCAACCTCAAACAGGCCCAGTTTTACCCAAAAGCAGATGTGAATGCAAGTGCCTCAGAACAGCACCTCAGGGCCACTCCGTACTGCGCTCGTTTAATTAAAGAGCTGCGATTCCCAACCAGATGAGTTAATGGGAAAACAAAGAACCACACAGCCTTCCTCCCCACAAAGCTGCACAGACCTTAACTAAAAATGGATGCAAAAGTAGCTAAATGAATACAACCTTTAAGCATGGATAAGCTCTCATGAACACACTCCTTCAGGGCTGTTTCTGGGATTTCCTACATGTTAAGCTGGGATAAAGAGACTGTAATCCAGCCCAAGACAATCCGTTTGGGTGAGAGACCCCTCTTTAGGGAGGTACAAACACCCAGCATGGGGAGGTGGGACCCCAGTGCAGAGAGAGCTCCTTCCAGCACCAATATTCCGGTGGGAATATTCTGGTCCCGGAGCTGCCGGCAGGTACCCACCCCAAACACACAAAATCCAGGCAGTGTGGAGAAATGAACGCCGTGCCTTGGATGGGTGATGGGGTGAGGAGCAAGGGGCTGGGAGGGTGTCTGTGGTGCCAGTGGGTGTGTTTGCTGCTCCCCCGGGAGCTCGGCTGTTCCCCGGGCAGCGCTGCCGCTCAGCGGCGGCCGCTCACACCACAGGGACAGGCAGGAGGAGGAGGAGGCAGCAGCCAAGAGAAACCCGGGAAAAACTGAGGTTTCCTCTCCTGAGCATGGTTTGTTCTGCGAGGGGAGAGGTTGCCAGGAGAAATAA